AAATCACCCCCCCCCCCCCCCACATTATCGACAGGGGGGGGTCCCATCTCGACAGCTAGCTGGCAATCGACAGCTAGCGGCAATCGACAGCTAGCTGGCAATCGACAGCTAGCTGGCAATCGACAGCTAGCTGGCAATCGACAGCCTGGCGGCGGTTTAGCGGGTAGCCCCAAAGCCATGTCAATTTAAAAACTGCATTTCAAGAGCCTCTATGCTAGGTTTACAACGTTGTTTTACATTTGCAATTATAATTCTAGTTTTATTCACTCTCTACAGTCCCGTACTATCCCTTTTTCAGTCTGTAAACAACTTTGCAACACGAAAACAATGATGAACAGGGTTTTACTTCTCGTATAAATTTATTAGAAGTGCCCTATGTCATTTTGCACGAAGTGATACAAAGGGCCTTCAAATTTAAGTCTATTGAAAGCATTCCCCCACCTAGCCTGTATGACCGAGCAGAATCATTTAGTGCTCAACAATAAAAATCCACAGTCTTGGCTAAAGAGGTCCATTATTTGTTTGTTTATTTAGTTATTTTATTTAATTGACATTGTACAGTACTATTAAATATCAGGTATATTGGATGCTCTGTTTTAAATACAGTCAAGATTGCCGAGCAATGAATTACATCCTGCTTCTTGTCCTCAAACCATATCTTTCTGGTTTTTAAAACGGTATCATTGAATTTCCATTTCCAAGCATTATTTTGAACTGTCCCGAAATTGTTTCCTTTCTTGAAATCAGACTACAGCCCCAGTCTAAAGTGCTTGTCCTCCCAGACAAGGACAAAGAGCCTCTTCGGTAGGTTTAGGGACAATGCATCAAAATAACGCGGTCATTGTTGCAATGTCAGGAATGCTATTATTACCTCCTCTTTGGTAATCCTCGCATTTGACCAAACAAAAGTCACTCAATGAAGGAGGGTCAGGTTTGTTTTCAATTCACTAATATTATTGATGCCATGTCAGAAAGAGCTGAGTAGTTTGTTACGTAACTATTCAAAAATTGCAGGTGCAAGCTATTGAAAACAGAATCGAATAGCCAAGCTTCCCTATTCATTGGTGCCCTGTTATAGAATTCGTAGCATATACTGAATTGAATAGACCCGTGTTCTATTCATTATACTATGTGAGGGCAGTGGCCTCTTGTCATATCATTTAAGTTTAAGTCAGCAGTTTGCAATTAAATGAAATAAACATAAAACCTCACTATTATATCAGTAATATCAGTAACTGAAAGAAAAAAAATACGGGCAATCTTGACAACATCGGACTACAAAAATGATGATAATAATGCATCCCGAAAGCGTCAAATCAGTAAATCGGCACATTTTGTAAAGTCATTAGCATGCAGAAAGTGTTAACAACAAAAGCGAACCAGTTATCACGGTGAGGCAAAATGGTCTTGTGGATAAAAGTGATCACTTCACAATGCAATGTACTCGGTTCGAGTCTCAGTTTCTCCTTTATATAAACCCATGTTATTTTTTTTTTCTTCACTCCATAATATTGACTTGTCATCTCTTTTTTAAAGGGGACACCCCCCCCCCTCAACAAGAAAAAATAGCATGTAATACTCTTTCTTTAACAAGCGACTCTCTGAATTAGTCAGAAAACATCTTTTGCTACATCTACAACAATTAGTGTAAGTATGAAGAATACATGAAGATTAGCAATGTGACACTTTAGTCTAGTGGGTAGGCAATCGTCTGATAACTGGAAGGTATCGGGTTCGACCCCCAGCTGTTGCGTTTTTTCTTTTGCTACATCTACAACAATAAGTATAAGTATGAAAAAAAAACATGGAGATTAGCAATGTGACACTTTAGTCTAGTGGGTAGGCAATCGCCTGGTAACTGGAAGGTATCGGGTTCGACCCCCAGCTGTTGCGTTTTTTCTTTTGCTACATCTACAACAATAAGTATAAGTATGAAAAAAAAAAACATGGAGATTAGCAATGTGACACTTTAGTCTAGTGGGTAGGCAATCGCCTGGTAACTGGAAGGTATCGGGTTCGACACCCAGCTGTTGCTTTTTTTTTAATCTTTGAAAAAGAAAAAATGATGTCAAACCCATTTTGATCTCACTCAAAGTCCATATTTATTGCTATTCTCTAATTGATCTATACAATGAGCTTGCAATTAACTTGTAAGCAAGGTAAAGTATTATATTTACGAAGTACAAGAAGGACAGGAATCCTGTTTTATCTATTTATCAAACATTATTACATTCAATACTTTTTCAGTCCCAATGAGAGAGAGAGAGAGAGAGAGAGAGAAAGAGAAAGAGAGCCAGAAAGAGACAAGTGAAGAGAACCCAATACACCTCATCAGTGTAATAAAGTCTGATGATCTTAATCTACATACTTACTTCAAATATTTTGCCGGGCAGATATTATTATTTATAAAAACAAACCAATTTTGGAGTTTTATAATAAATATTATTGTTGTTGTTGTTGTTGATGTAAAACAATGAGAAAATAGGGACCTTTTGCGGGGGGGGGGAGCAATGTAGAAAAAAACTACAGGGGAGCCTTGGATTTTTATTTGGGGGGGGGGTGGGTATCGGCGCGGATTCAGGATTTCTTAGGGGGCCCAAACTTGAAATCAATTTGAAATTTAATGTGCTGAAATAAAAAAAAATCGTGCCGGCCGATATTTCACTCAGTGGTTAGAGGGGGAAGAGAGCACTATTTTTTTGTTTGGCCCTCGAAAATTTGAAAAATCACCCCCACCCCCACATTAATCGCCAGGGGGGTTCCTATCTCGACAGCTAGCTGGCAATCGACAGCTAGCTGGCAATCGACAGCTAGCTGGCAATCGACAGCTAGGGCAATCGACAGCTAGCTGGCAATCGACAGCCTGGCGGCGGGCGCGGGTAGCCCCAAAGCCATTGTCCATTTTAAAAAACTGCATTCAAGAGCCTCTTATTGCTAGGTTTACAACGTTGTTTTACATTTGCAATTATAATTTCCTAGTTTTATTCACTCTCTACAGTCCCGTACTATCCTTTTTCAGTCTGTAAACAATTTGCAACACGAAAACAATGATGAACAGGGTTTTACTTCTCGTATAAATTTATTAGAAGTGCCCTATGTCATTTGCACGAAGTGATACAAAGGGCCTTTCAAATTTAAGTCTATTGAAAGCATTCCCCCACCTAGCCTGTATGACCGAGCAGAATCATTTAGTGCTCAACAATAAAAATCCACAGTCTTGGCTAAAGAGGTCCATTATTTGTTTGTTTATTTAGTTATTTTATTTAATTGACATTGTACAGTACTATTAAATATCAGGTATATTGGATGCTCTGTTTTAAATACAGTCAAGATTGCCGAGCAATGAATTACATCCTGCTTCTTGTCCTCAAACCATATCTTTCTGGTTTTTAAAACGGTATCATTTGAATTTCCATTTCCAAGCATTATTTTGAACTGTCCCGAAATTGTTTTCCTTTCTTGAAATCAGACTACAGCCCCAGTCTAAAGTGCTTGTCCT